ATTAGAGCATCTAAGCCCGGATTTTGCAAATCCGGGTCCACAAACGTCTGTGGACGCGACCGGGCGCGTCCGCGGACAGTGACCCGTCATGCCTCAAATTAGCCACTCTGCATCCGGGTCTTTCATATTTCAACCCTTAGATTCATACAAAGCATGCAAAAGAAATCGTACGTACTACATAATATGTACTACCCTTGTTAATATTCGTAGTCGGAGATATCCACGACGACGGTGTCAGGCCCCGATTGGACGGGCGGGTAGGAGGGCTCCGGTTCATCCTCCTCCTGCTCGACCTCATCCATGCAGGAAAGTATCTCCGCCTCCTCTGCGGCCTCCATCTCTTGGCGGCGACGGCCTCTGGCCTCCGCAGCCGACTCCGAGTAGAGGTTATCAAGGATGGTCTGCTGCTCCGCCTGCAGATCCGTGTCTCCAGCATCCCCCACATCCTCCTCTTCCGGCTCATCCTCATCCTCCTCTTGCTCAACCTCCTGCTCCTGCTCCTAGCGCTGCGGCGATCCGGGCTTTGCGCCTTGCCGGAATCTGCTCAAGGAGCTCGAGCCGGCGCTCCGGCGTTAGAAATGGTTGGCTCCTCACCCGGCGGTGGGGAATGGGGGTGGGCAAGGCTACTAGACGGACATGGGGAGTGGAAAGTCGTGGTGGCGACGGACGGGTGGAGGAAAATCTGGATAGTATGGTTTCGGTGCCGCCGGTCGACTTAAATACTCGGGCTAGGCGCTACGCGGCCCGCCGGAGTGGCACCATGGTTCGATGGAGGAGACGAGCTTCGGACCGCCGGTTTTCTGGGCGTTTTCGCAGGGGACCCCCGTCGTCAGTCCGACTTGGCGGGCATGCCCGGGCACGCTCGGGCGCACTCATATCCGCTCCATATTTGGGCTGCATATGAGGGGTGCCGGTCAGCCGGGCGTTTGATGGGGCCGTCTGGGTCAAAAAATTATGACCGGATAATGACCAGGCGGCCCGGCCGGACGTATGAGGCGGGTTTGAGGCGCCCGACTGCAAATGCTCTTACGTCTTGTATTTTATGTTTCATAGGCGAGTTGTCCTTGAATAGTCAGACTTCCTACGGAAGGGAGGGAGAGAGAGAAGAGAGAGAGAGAGAGAGAGAGATGTGTGAGTTGTTCCCGCTGTCTACCTGTTCAAGTGAGGAAGAGCGTCCCAACCGTTTTGTTTTGCAGTGGCATTCCGGTGGTAAATAAAAGGAACTCCAGATTCGGGAAAAGGTGGAGCTGGGTTTCCCTCGCTTCAACAAATTGCACTATGGCCCAAGATTACTTCGTGAATTTAGCTTCCTGGATCAAAAGCGTTCGGGCTGGCTTCTCTCTTGAAATATTTGAAGTTAGGAGCGACAAACCATGGTAAATAATGGTTAGTTGTCCCTTTTAGTCTCTCCTCCGAGGGCTGTCGAGAGCACCCCCTCCATAACTCTCCCC